ACAACAAGACGAAGCTCGTTCAACTCATATTCATGACCCAACTCGCCAAAGCTATTGAAGTGTCTGGAAAAGGCCATATCATCGTCAATGGCGTGCATCCTGGCTTCTGCAGCACACCACTCTTCGATAACACGCCCTGGCCATTCAATCTTATATTTAAAGGGCTTCTTGCACTTTTTGGACGAGCTCCGGAGGTGGGATCCCGTGCTTTACTGGCTGGAGCGTTTGCAGATGAAAGCTTGAACGGAAAGTTTATGTCTAACGGCGCTTTTCATGAACTGCCCAGGATTATGCAGGGGGATGAAGGAGAGAAGATGTGTAGAAAGGTCTGGGAGGAGTTGAGTGGGGTTTTGGAGGGGATTGAGCCCGGGGTAACAAATAAAATCTAGGATCAGAATTGATTGTCTGCTGGAGGGAGACTGGACAGCTCAATATGTGGTATATGAACTACGGATGGTTCCATCAATGTGCATTCACCTTTCAATGACTTTCAGTCTTCTAGGCCGCGGTACTTATAGGCAAGGTAGTCAGCAGTAATAGCATAATACGAATGACCTGTTAATACTTAATTTCCATCGTTTTGGTTGGTTATGGCGATTGGATTTGTCCAAGTTGATAGACCTGTCAGTCTTATTCAACGCGGAACAAATCCGCGCCACAGTGAGTCCCACCAAAGTCAACACCAAGACCATCGACTCCGCGACAGCTCAAGCTCTACATCCACCAAAGTGTATGCGCCGACGCTGGGAGAGTCAATCTCCGCCACTATAATATATTCAACTTGGAATTTCTTGGTATATTGACTCCCAATTGAATAGACGGGCGTACTTCCTGAAGGTTCACCTTATGGACGCGATCCAAAACTCCTTTGTTCATCGATCCATCTCGCGACCAACCGTTTAATCATCGATTCGAACATCCATTCCCTTCGCCATGGACTCTCGCGCAGCAGCCGCAGAAGCGATGCGCTCGGCCATAGAATATTGGTCCCAGTTTGTCGCACGCTCTATCTCCCAACGTCTCGATACAGAGAAATTCGAGAATTACGTTCGACTCGTCCATGATCAACATCCTCTCCCTCCCGCCCTTGTCGCTGATTTCTTCCTTCGCCCTCAACCATCAAACGATAATAGCCTCGACCCTCGAATCCCTCCATATTTGCAAGTGCTCACAAGACTCGGCTATGTCGATGCGCCGTCAATACTAAAAGCGCTGTACAAATACTCGTCTCTACATGCGTACGCACAACAACCGAACGCCCATGAAGGCAGGGAAAACGAAAAGGAGAACGGAAAAAGCGATGATAAAGAGAAGGATGAAAATCAACAGAAGATTACTCGATGGAAGAGCTCTTACTGGGCTGAAGAGGTACTTTTCTACGGAATTACCAAGTCCGTAGTAGAAGGAAAAGCCATACGAGATTCAAAAACGGCATTGGACATGACAAGGATTATTTCCAAATTGATGGTCCTTTTCACGACTGCATTTGCGGCCGATATGATTGAGCAATTGCACACAGCCCAGGTACGAGATGAGATGGAATCGTCGAGGGCAGCTCTGGTCGCACTCCTGCTACGGATGTGCGAGAATGACATCCTTGTTGGAGCCGTGAGCAAACCAATTGCCAAAGGTAATACAATCCCTATCATACTGCGCCCATACTGACTAGGCCAGACGTCCGGAAAGAAATGTCTGCTGGCTTGGCAAGCTTTGTGCCAACGTTACAGCTCGTGCCGCAAATAACAGACAAGCTCGAGCAATTTCGAACGGAGATCCTTGCCTGCTCTGATCCCGCCGATAAGAAGAAGCAAGCTACTAATGCTGCTATGGACGAGCTTCTTGATTCAGCCGTTGGCCTGGACAATTTTGTTGTGGCAGATATCCCCGTCAGCAACACTCGAGCAGGATTGTACATCTACCTGAACGCTGCAGTAAGTTCGATGTCCCTCGGTGAATGACTATGCTAATTTGCTAGCTTATTGCACGCCCCCTTTTGGACGATCATGCTTTGTTTTCGTACATGAGCAACAAGTATCAAGGAGATATCCAATCGAGTGCCATTGACCTGATTCTCGCATCTTTCGATATCTTGGCCAACGCGGTTTTCCGCAATGAGGGACAGAAAGACGCCCACCTTCTGAGATCATTCTTGATCAATAAAATTCCTATACTTCTCTATCAGCTGTTGCCTCCTGGCTTCCCAGGCACATCGGCTGAATTCTGTATTACGGAGGCACTAAGCCATGTAGACACAAGCCTGTTTCCTACAGCATCACTCATGTTTGACGAGTCTCGAAACAACAACCCTTATACTGAAAGTATCAGAGAAGAGTTTTGCGCCGCGTGTGTGCTGCATGGCCTCGTGCAAAGAGAGCACGTGGAGAGGATTTTGGGAGAAATATCCCTTTCCTATGAACCATCTTTACAGAAGCATTCCAAAGACAAGCTTGTGCAAGACTGTTTGTCTGATACGGAAAAGATTCAGGGGCTTGTTCGGGAACTCGACAAGATGGACGGCAACGTCGGTGCAGTTTGTCAGGCACTTGTTGAGGTAAGTGACTTCATTCGTCGCCTATTTACTTCTAACAAACATAGGTGCTACGGCAATCATGCCACAATAAGGAAACAATGTCGTTGAAAGTACTATGCAGTCAACTGGCTGCAAAGCCACAGTCTTTAGACGTCATTCTTCTGTTTGAGAAGCTGCCGAATATTCTTGAACCTTTGTGTCAACTTCTTGATAACTGGCGTTATGAAGATGACCAAGAAGAGTATCAACCCGTGTACGAGGAGTTTGGTGCCGTTCTACTGCTTGTGTTGGCCTTCACCTATCGATATAACCTAAACGCAGTGGACATTGGTATCGCCAGCCCTGACTCTTGGGTCGCTAAGATTATTGGCAGGGGACACATTGGACGACAATGCAATGAGCTTACTCAAAGGGAGAACGACCACCTCAACGGCTGGATTCATGGACTTTTCGATACTGAGGCAGGTGGTCTGGGTGATGAGTTGATGTCATCTTGCCCCCCGCAAGAGTTTTATCTTGTTGTGGCGCCTCTATTTCAGAGCATTGTCGTTGCATACACGCATGGCTATCTCAACGACGAAAGCCTCAAGGGAGGCATCGAATGTGAGTACCATTGCCAATCAGGTGATCCATGCTGACGAAACAGACCTGGTGGATACCTTCTTATTGCCATCTCTTGTCCCGGCGATTCGATTCCTGGCAGACTATCTCTGGATAGACCAAAAAGAACAAAAGTCCATCATCAAGATCCTGCAACTCATTCTCCTCCCAAGCTCCATCTCGGGAGAAGCAAGCACAATGCTTTCATCCGTCAAAAACCTCATTGCAAAGCCTTTGGAGCATGCCTTACGAACATACCAACGTCGAGATCCCCAGAATCAAGACATTGAACCTCTTTTGCGAACTCTCAGGGATAGTATCCCCTTGTCACGCCGGACAGGAGGAACCGACCTCAATGAGCTCGAGTCTTGGACCGTTACACCTCCTACTGGCCTATCTAGTGCCATTAAACTTACCACTCAAGGTCTTGTCCACTGGAGCATGCATCCTGCTATGAACAGTATGCCGACTTCTTATACCCATCGACAAATCTTGGCTGCTCTGAAGATAATGGGCCCCAAGCGAGTATTGCACGTCATCTTGGAGGAGATTCGACAACACACAGAGACTGGAAGTGCCAGTATTGTCTACGACGTGGCTATCTCATTGATCTGTGCACCTGACGCTGCGAAAGATGCCCCCGCAGTTGTCGATGCAAACGGAAACATGCTTCCACCGGTCCAGCGGCAGCGTAGTCTCCGTGATCTTCTCAAAGTTGAGGCTGAAGGCTGTAGAAAACTCCAGAAGAAAGACCCAGCACTCGCTGAGATCGTTGTACGTCTACATCGCCGTGTAGAAGCACAGATGATCATCCCCCAGCCTCCAGGAATGCTTCAGACCGCAGAGATGTCTCTCAACCTCGATGGTGACACCGCTGCACTTGGAGATGCCATGGCTGCTGCGGCTTCAGGTGTTCAGGACAATATGTCTGTTGATAACTTGACTCTTGATGTCAGTATGGGTGGTGTACCATCTGATCTGGGACTCGGATCTGCCAATGACGGAGGGAGCTTGGATCCTTCAGGGGATGCTGCCATGTTTGAAGGATTCGATACTCAAGACATGGATAACTTTGATTGGGATGACATTGGTAACGCGTTTTAGTGAGACGAGAGGCGTCTGATATCATGGGCAGGCGTACGACACGGGTATGAATAGACTTATGTTTGAACCTTCAACACTAGCTCAGTGACTGTTTTACCAGGTGCACAAAGTGGTCGGTCTGTCTATTTTCTGAACAGGTGGCCCGTGGCTCCGGGAACTTGGAGCTCAATAGCGAAGCCCAAACCAGCAATCCTCAAGAGATTCGTCTCATTGATCACAGGTTCCGTGGTCTAGTTGGTTATGGCATCTCGTTAACACCGAGAAGGTCCCCGGTTCGATCCCGGGCGGAACCACATTTTTGCTTGTTCTATCTCTTATTTTACGTGAAGCAGAAAAAGAGACAGTAGTTCTTCTATACAGGAAGAGAGAAGTGCAAAAAGAAAGTGGATCAGCTGTGTCAATCGACCACGCCAGGAGTCGAACCTGGAATCTCTAGAGGGATCAGTTGCTGAAAGACCGAAATCTAGCGCCTTAGCCATTAGGCCACGCGGCCTGATCTTGTTGATATTTGAGTCGGTTCTGTTACGATTCTCATTGTCCACCCGGGAAGGGGAGTATACAGGAAAAGGCCAATATCGCAGTAGATACTGTTCGGACATAATTAGAGAATAGGCACAGATGACTCTCTTTTCTTCAGTTCTGTTTAAAATTCGGTTTCTCTATGTTCTGTGAGTCTCTGACATAAATTAGCTCTACCATTATCAGTTATGTCTTCATATGTATGTATATATTCAGCATAGATCCTCAGATTCACTCGCCCATAGCACTATGACTCGCCACGAAATTGCTTCATAATTCCCGTAGCACTCCAAAACATGGAAATCATTGCCAAAACAATAGTCATGGGAACAGATGCGCTTTGTATGTCATCGGGATGTCTACTCATCCACCATCCCCACAATACAAAAGGAGGAATGAGAATAAGCAAGTGATATATAATAACATGAAAGCACGAGATGCAATGTCGGGCTTCGAGACCCCAGATGGGGATATCAATCGTTCCAGGTGAAAGTGGCGTCTTTTTCTTTGGAATTCTCTTTATGTAAGTCGTTTCTTCAAACTCGTAGCAGTCGTGAAAAGGAGAGAGGTTTCGGCATTTACCGCCAGTGCAGCTGTTGAATGCAGCTTCAAAGATATGTGGATGAACAGGTGGTATTGATGCTTGAGGAGGCTTTGGTGCATAATCGTAGTCTAAGTCGCTAGCCTTTGGCAGATCTTGACCACATGCGACAACAATGTTGCGGGTAATGCTCTCGAACTAATGAATTATCAATGAATATTACCAGAACGGAGGGCCGATAGGTGTTGCAAGATCAATTTGAGGCATTCGACATATGGGAGTGAAAACTTCCTAGTGAAATGCACTCACCTTAACGAAATTGCAGTGACTGAGCTGCCAGAAAGAGAACCAAGCTCTCCATCGGCCTCGCGTTTTTAAATACTCGGCCTTCAACTGTGTGAAAACGTTGCTATCTGGTTGATGGACCGGGATTGGGATCACATGTAGCGTCTTAAGCCCCATGGGTACTCCAAACAAGATCCTCAGATCATGAATAGCCACAGGCGGGATGTTGTTCTGCTCTGTAGTAGTCACCCCCTGCTGGATTCGGTTGTTGCCTCCCACACCAGGCGGTTGTTGACTACCTTGGGATACTGGCGTCGAGACAGGTAAAAGGGCTCCGGAGTTCCATTTGAACCACGCTGTGAACCCTTGGAAGTTATTTCGCCTGGTATGGGCGACTTTGTGATGGTCCTCAGCGAACGCGGTATGGTTCTTGGTCATTCTCTCAATGACTTGTGCTTGAGAGGGAGTAATGTCTATCGAAAGCGGCTTGCCGCAATGCTATTTCTGGTCAGGTGGTTACATAGGAAGTCTTGCAGCTTGTGGTAACTCACACAGGCCCAGTTCATTCGTACGTAGCCCCTTGGCAAAGGTACTTCTGGCGGTTTGAGTGGCCACCAATCCCAGGGGCTGCCGGTCGCCTTTTCCGCAGCAAGCTTGATTTGATCAAAAATTGAGACTTCAGCCGGGGTGTCGATCATTTCAATGGTATCCCAAGCAGCTAATTGCATGACCTGTCTGAGAGTATCAGGTAACAAAGAGAGTCCAAGGTGCCCCAAGAACGCCCGGAAAGGAGGACCCTTCATGAGGAATTCTTCTGCGATTTGAACTGCTTGGAAATCTCCGGAATCGCTTTCTATTTCATCGTACATGTCGTCATTATCTTCTGTAAGTTTGGTGTCACTAGTCTCATCTGCTGGCTGCTGAGGCTTCTCATCTGGTCTCGCAGACAGTTCCGTTTTCAATATCCAGTTGTTGAGATAAGCTCGATCCTTCCGGAAACTTGGCCTGATTTCTTCGTCTTCTTCATTGCTATTCCTTGCAGTTGATGTTGCTAACCCGCCATCGACAGCTCTTTTTGAGATTCTAGTCCTTGAACCTCGCCCTTTAAGCATTCGAGTCGTCAGAACCTGGGTTTCGATGTTCTTTTCCGTGTATTCTCTGAGTTTCAGGTACAAATGCTTCAGTGATCTCCGCACATTGCGCTCGAGCCTTTCCTTTGGCATGAGTTCTGAGGATATATCAATGATAAAACGGAGATCCGGATGCCGGGAAAGCAAATCACCAATTTGACGCTCAGCGGCGATGATAACTGGAGTTCGCGCAATGCTGCTGTTGTGTGACTGGATGTCTTCTTCGATTGACTGAATCGAGCCAACTTCGTCCATTATTGCATCCACCTCTGCTCTCGTACTATTGCACACTGCACCTTCTTTAGTAGATTCAACCTCTATACCTTCTGGAAGCTCAATTGACGTCGCAACCGTAGAATTTCGACCACTAATGCTATCTGTGTTTCTGTCCCGCGTGGCTGAGGTGATTGTTGTGAAACCTATCGTCCTAGAGTCGCTTCCGGGAATGAGCATCAGGATTTGTCTGCCAAGCTCCGGGTAGTCTGGAAGGAAGTAACTCGAAAGGTATTTTCGAGACCTTTCAGACATTTCCAGGTTATCCAGATTCTTTTCACAGACTTCTGCAAACACCCTGAATACAAAATCAGCATCAGATAGGCTAGAATCTGACACGTTAGGTAGGGCAAAATTGTCAGCACTGATTGCCCATAACGGAAAAGGAATCCATTCATATGTTTCGCCATCAGATTTGAGTTCCAGTAAAGCTCTTGAATCTGGGATATGAGGGGCCCTCCCCAACATCATACTGAAAACACGTTCGAACATGGCCTGTTCAAAAGTCGGTACCCAATGAGCCAGCATGAGGAACTTGAACCAAACTGGAACTTTCCACGTCCTCGATTTCTTGTCCAGAAGTTCAACATGATCTCCTGGCCTGGCCCCATGTTCAAGCATGAGAATGGATATCTCATTTACCAGATTGATGTTTATCTTACCAAGCCTCGGGAATGAATTGCATAACGTGTCAGGAACGTGGGTATTTACAAAAGTTACCCATGGTGTCTCCCCTGTAAGGTGAAACTTATTTGGCTTATGACCAAGAGCAAGAAGTGATTTGAATAGAGACATGTCAATAGACTCTGGGCCTAGATGCGCAGGATGAAGGTTATGTGATGCTGCACCAAGCGCAGAACAAAGAGGTGATCGGTAGTTCTGTGAATATTTGTTGTCACAATATCCTGGGTCAACCCAGAGTTTGTTCGCAATGTATCTCTGAATACCAGATTCAATCACAAGATGACGGTAAATGCCCCTTGTCATAGATATATCTGATATGTTGAATTGATTCCTCGCAGTCATGGACAACAGAGATTCTTCTATGTTGTCAAGTAGTGCCCAGGTTGTGGCAACGGTGTTTTCTTTTTGGTCGCAACGTCGTGCATATTCAAGACACTTCCTCAAGCTCTGAACAAGGTCTTCAATATCTTTCATGGGATCGTGTTCTTCTAGCTTCTTTTGGTGCAGATGCTCTTCGTATGGATGAAGCCATCGCTCATACAGCTTCTTGAGTGAGTCTGAAACTGATATTGCAGTATCGTCGCTATAACCCAAGTTTTTGACAACATCCAACCATATTTCGTGCTTGCACACGTTGCGAAAGCCTCCTCGGATGTTGACAACCTTTGTCATCCAGTAAACGTCGACTGGTTGATTGAATGTATCTTGAAAATCCGGCAAGGTACTTGCTAATTTCTTATGGAATTTCGAAAGGCTCTTCACATACGCTAGACTGACCGCTGCCGGCTCAGGCTGTAAGTCGATGAATTCGCCGCTCCTGAAAGATTTGCGCTTGAGCCAAGAAACTGACGCTTTGAAGACTGAGAGATCGGAATCGAACCCTTTCCGAACTTTGGTGAGTAAGTAGTTATGAAACTCTTCAGAATGCATCAATTCCAAAACAGCTCGATGCACGAAGGCAACTTGTCCATCGACAACTTCCAGCAGTCCTCTACATGTCTGTATGATGTCGCGATGAACCTGGTGATGTAATTGTTTTGTTTTCTCGTCGTGGGGCGACAAAAGGTCCGTTGGTGTCACAAAAGCGTACATGTCATTGCCAAAGTCGAAGTTGTGAAAGTAGAGAATTTCGGCAGCTAGGCTTCGTTTTGCTTCGCGAGTGATTGTCAGATACTCAGCAGCTTTTCCACAAGCCTGGAAGTTCGAGGATTTTGTCACACTCTTGACTAGGCTTGGTAGGTTGTGGGGGATGTCTGCAACATTCTCTGCTCCGTTGTAGGCATCAAGCAAAAGAGACGGCTCCTCAAGGAGAAAGCGAGTTACCAAAACAGCCCAGAGGAAGTTCCCCTGTGCTTGAGCACCAAGGGACTCGACATCAAGATCCCTATAGTTCGAACGGTCCATATAGCTTTGCAGATGGCTTCCCTCCAACTGAAATGTGATATATCTGTTGATATCTCCTCGATTGGCCTCTTCCATAGATAGTTTGGCTTCGGAGGAGATATTGAGTGAATCATCAAACACAGCCAATGGTCTGCTAGAGACAATGACTTTGACATGGGGGAGAGACGATAGATCTTCTATCAGTTGACACAACTTAGCATTATCTCCCTCATATTCATCCAGCCCATCGATAAAGAAACACATGTTAACAGGAACATTGTTCTTTGTTATGGAGCTTAATATGTGTCCTAATTTGAAAGTTGCCGGCAAGGTGCTCGATGCTGAGCCAAGGCTGGACGGCGAATTCTTCAAGAGATTTGGCTTCGCACTGAGAATTCCAAATGCGAGGGACCTTAGGAGTCCCTCAAACGATCTCTGGATTGGTAGACCCGTAGCATCAAAGTGGTGATTGACGATCAACAGCTCCCTATGCTCAGCCCATTTCTGCAGTAAATTTCGGGTATCCTGATGTTCGGAAACAAATTTCATCAATGTCGATTTCCCCGAGCATGGTTTTCCTGTGACCCAGAAGAGGCTGTGATCTGAAATAAGCCAGCGACGCAACAAAGATTGAGCATGGATGGCATCGTCTGCTTGTTCTTGAAAGACCCAGGAGAACGTTCCCTCAAAGGCTTTCGAGATCCTACTCTGTCGAAGTGATCTCTCGCTATGGTTGAGGGCGCATAACATTGGGAGTGCCGTCTGTAAGTGGTGAAGGTTGGATAATATGCATTGCAGTCTGTCACAGATTTCTTCCCAAGCCTCTGTTCCGCAAGGAATTTGGCCGAGTTGAGCGTCAACAAGGCCTGTAGACCGTTGGAGCTCTTCAAAAGCATTGCATCCTAGAGAAATGCCGAAGCGATTTTCAATGTCTTCCAATTGGTAATGCACATGACATAAGATGTTGCTATCGATGTTAATATGGATCAATAGAATGAACACTTGTTTGACTCACTTCGCCAAGTGACGAGTACTTGGTCGAGTATACTCACTGATCGCGCTTTGGAGATTTCCAAAATATGGAGGCACAAACAGCTGATCAACTAACCGCAGGAACTGTCCCCCTTGCCCATTTTGAGTCTCTCTCTCGAGATTTGTCTTGGCAGCTTTAAGAAGAGTGTCACAGTCCCTTACACACGCCCTCGCACAATTTAGTATCGTAGTATGGTTTTCGTCATCTGATGCGGACTTTTCCTTCTGCAAAGCAAGGAGGCCATCTTGCAGTTCCGACTGGATCGCAAGGAGTTGATCGTATATATACCGCAAGGGGGGACTTCCTGGTGGAACTTGAGCAGCTGAAGAGATAGCTATGAGATTTCCGACGAGGCCAGAATAGCGGAAAATTATGCTTGATATATTCAGGACTGGTAAAATACTCATTCTCGCAACGTTGTCGCTGTAAACTTGGCTGTCGAGGTGAGTTTGAAGAGTGTGAACGGGTCTTTCAGCTGGAGTTTCTAGGTACTAATCCTGTTCAGCAGTTTCGGCTGTGTAAGGCGCTTTCCAATAACAACCCATGAATTTGTTTCCATAGGGAAACAGATGCCGGTAACACCTCCTGTAACTCGCCAAACACATTGCAAGGCGGCAGGCGGTTTTTATGCACCTAAACCACCTGCAGCCAATACCCTGGCCAAGTGCATTATTAAGAAATGGATAGCAGGAAATAAACCCAACAGACTCTATACAATGGCACTAGGATTGTAGCCCAATAACAATCGCAGTTACTTTGATGAAGTTGGGTAGCAACGTCTGTCCTAAGTTTGGGTTTAGAACTTATGTTGTTATCTTGTCAGAGAAGGTGTTGTCCAAGACTCGAGTCCTTTGCGTCGCAATTTGTATACGTGTTAGACATCAAGGCAATGACCGAACTGCAAAGCTACGTAGGCACACTGGGCCACACTGACCATTCTCATCACATTACCTACGCAACCTAGGAAATCAGCCTCGCTAGCAAGCTATGGTAAGTGTCGTCATTCTTCCAAAGCAGGCATTCTTGTCTGGCTTATTCAAGAGCCTGGGGCTGAGCAAGGAGTCGATATCAGGCGGGCGTTTAGAAATAGGGAGCTGTGGCTGTAGCTAACAGCTCCACGGCGGACTATAAAGCTCATTGTCTCAAATGTGGAGCCCTTTCCAGCTCGACTATGGGAGAGCGGACGGAGAGTCTTTTATTCTACGAGAATGAGAGACTCTCCGTCAAGTTCTTTCATAGTCGAGCCTCGTGAATCAGCGATATCGGCGCTCACACATATTGCAAGGACAAGCTTCATCTCATCCTATCGCATGTTTCACTCCACCGATTTCCAATATTTAGGCATTATCAAAGTACCATGAGCTCTGTTTAAGCTAGTTTCCCCATTTAGTAAGAATATTCGAAGCTCGTAAGACTGTTCGGTCTCGGCCGAGTCTGGTGGGCTGTAAGACGCCCGGCTTGGCTGAAGATGAAGATGATGGCACCACAGACACCATTTTAGTTAGCACCAACACAGCCGAGGCAGTCTTGTAAGTGAGTCTCGACAGATATAAAGGGCAACATCACGCCCAAATTTATACGATACTGGCACTCAATAACCACAATTTCACTGCAATGTCTCCGAAAGATCTTTTCACCAAATATTTCCCAAGGCGGAAGAAGCAAAAAAACACTGAAAAGCCAGAGCCAACACCTGACGAACCTATACCAAGACGCGCCTATACAGCCCCAGCACATACACAGAAGACACCTACAAATAAGGTAGGCTCTACTGGGCCTCCACGGGGAAGATATCATGTCCCAGCTACCGCTGATGGCGGAAACTATCCTGCTGGAAACATGTATGGAGGAGTCTCGGATGACACAGTTGGCAACAGTCACAGTCATGGGCACAGGGATAGAGGGCATTGGGGATGGGGAGGAGTAGAAGATGGTTCAGGCAGCGGCGGTCATAGTTATGGGGGTCACGGAGACCATGGAGGCAGCAGCAGCGGAGGAGGATGCAGTGATTCGGGCGGAGGAAGCGGAGGAGGAGATAGTGGTGGAAGCAGTGGAGGTGGTGATGGTGGAGGAGGAGGCGGAGGTGGAGGAGGTGATTAGGCTGCCTACTTCGTATTACCTTGTGATTTGTTATAGTTTTTATGAGAGCATGGAGTTCTGGTTGTTGGTTGTTAGCATCATGGAGCGTTGGTATAGAATTTAAATGAAGAGTGGATCGATCCAGTAATCTTGACATCCGACCAACAATGCATTGACCTCACATAAGAGATCTCATTCTCAGCGTAATTCCCTCTTTTTACATTTCAACCGTCCTCCGTATTACTCGTAACCATGCGATTCCCAATCTTCACGTCCATAGTCTTCACTCTCACAACTCACTCAGCTACCGCCTATAGGCCATGGAACAGCACAATCCCCGAATCCTTCAACGAAGAATGTCGCAAAGTCCTCTCAACAGAAATTGACTGCCCTTACTTCCTTCGCAGAGAGTGGGTGGATGACGGGTATTATTTGAAAGGCGAAAGAGCGGAAGCATACTGTTCATCATCATGTCGCTCTTCTCTTGGGCAGTATAGCGGCGACCTCACGGCGGCCTGCGTGAATGAAGACATCTGGGGAGAGAATACAGGGCCACAAGCAGCCTTGGATTTCAGCATGTCATTGTTAGCGGCACAAATGATTCTCTGTGTTGCTGATGAGTCAGTAGCCGCTTGTTTCAATGTGTGTTCACGGAGCTGACTTCTTTACAGGGAAGGGCCTTGCCTAGAAGCGTTGTATAATCGAGAACGGGATCTATGCTCGGAATGCGGACTCAAGGTGGCATATTTGAGCGCCATGTTCGAGTTTAAGAAGCCTCTAAATATCAGCTCCAAACAGTTCATGTGTTTGCTGGAAAATTGTGCAAAAGAGCCAGGTAGTTTCGTGTCTAACGAAGATGGAAAGGCTAAGTTGACTAAATGGTTCAACGATTTAATATAACAGCCCGTGGGTAGTGTAAAACCCTGTTACATCTAACGATCGCTGTAAGAGTACTCGCCTGTTCAGGCAACCTTTTTGTATTTTCTAAAACCCGTTTCAAATTTAGAAAGCGTTGCTCTCGTCGACTTTTCTTTTCATCCCATATAAAACATGTTCTTTGTTCTGCCACTGCCAGCAAGTGCCTACATCTGACGCCTTGATGCTCGTTTGCTCTACGGTGTGGCGCACTGCAAGGATGAAAAGTCAACAAAGAACGCTTAAACATAATGACAGCTCAGATAAGCTACTCTTGTGAATAATCTCTTCCTCTCATCCTCTTTCTGGATCTGTTTTCTTTCACATTCGCGGTGACAACACCAAAAATACCCAGACTTCTTTGGTCGATACTCTACTTCTAGCGCAACACTTTCTAAATAGGAACAAACACAACCTTTGGCTTGCTTTCTTCCAAGTCTCTGATCGTGACAGTTTCACGAGAGATGGCTCTCGATAACCCTGCTACAGTATCTGGCTCCGGCTCAGACAACGACGAAGACAAGCAGAGCGGTGCAAACAACTCGAGCACGATGGCAACTAATGATGACTTCAAGGTCGATCTTCTCAAGGCTATCAAAGACGTCAAGATCGTGGGCAAGTTTGCATTCGATCAAGAAATTGAGATTCCTGAGGATTTCAGCATCTCTGTTCGAGGTGTTGGCGATATCAAACTTCCACTCAAGAAGGCGCAAGCAGTCAAGATCATCACTCAGGCACGACAAGCGCCCTTTGGAAAAGGAAGTGATACTATCGTCGACACTTCGGTCCGAAAGACCTGGGAGCTCGATCCTGAGCAGTTCACTATTGGCGGAGACGAATGGTCCGATTACCTCAAGGAACTGTGTGAACTTGTCGCTCAAAAGATGGGCATCAAGACGCCTGTCCACGCTGAGCTCTACAAGATGCTTCTCTATGAGAAGGATGCCATGTTCAAGGCACACACCGAGTACGTCAATATTTCCTGTCCGTATGACCAGCCGAACTAACGTTGTCGCCAGCACGGAGAAAATCCCCGACATGTTTGGGACCCTTGTCGTCAGTTTGCCATCGAAACATAAGGGTGGGGAGGTCGTTCTGGGGCACTGCGGCGAGGAGGTTATCTACGAATCTTCCAAGAGCCAAGCTTCTTGTGCTGCTTGGTACTCGGATGTTCACCACGAGGTTCTTCCCGTCGCGTCAGGCTATCGCTGGGTCCTTACCTACAACCTCGCCATCGGCCAATCCTCGCCGCGCACATTTGATGCCTTCTCGGAAGCCAATCTGCTGCCCCTCAGTGAATGTGTCAAAGGATGGCTCGCACAGGAGCAAAAGGATCGCAAAACTCCATATGCATGCCACGTCCTAGATCACGAGTATACTCAAGCCAACATTTCCCAAAAGTCGCTGAAAGGAGCAGACACGACCCGGTTCATGGCTCTCCAACAAGCATTGGAGGGATGCCCGGTTACGATTTATCTTGCACTGCTTGAGAGAGAGGAGATTGGGATGGTGGACTTTGCAGAGCCAGAGATGCAGGCTTTCTATCCCTTGTCCTTAGCCTTGTCCAGGACCATTGACACCTACCCAGACCCATTCAAAGGTTACCACCCTTCATTATACTCAGTCGATGAGACGGTTTGTCGGCTCAAGACTCTTAGAGACTTGCAAGGTGAGACCGTTACAGATGAACTGGTCGTCACGGAGAATTGCATTCTTGATCCAAGTGCCTTCAAGGGTGTGAAGTCTGAGAAGGCGTATGAATTCAGTGGCAACTCGGTGCGTACTTGGCAAAATCCTAGATGTCAGCTTCTTGCTAACCTATGCTACTAAGGGTACAACAGCAACACATTGGTATCGTCGAGGCGTAAGTACGATGCTTGTTTCAAGTGTACCTGTCACTGATTATCACAAATAGACCATCGTTATTGTCCCTCACGACTCGGTTGCTGGCTTACTTAGCCAGCTCGACGACAGATTTTGTTATTCGTCTCCAGAGATGCAGATCAAGTATATTGTGCACTTGTGCTCTCAGCCAGATGTGCAAGACCACCTGATCAGCACAATGGCCGGACTTGTTGAGAATGCAATGCCCAAGCTGGAAACTAACCCTGACTTGATGAAGGATAAATCCGTCTTGTCAAAGGTCGTCAAAATTGCCCTACAGCATAAACGTTACCAGATTGTTGAGGATATTCTGGCCAAATTCTACAAGATGTTACCATCTGATTTGTTTATCTGGTTAAGACAATGGGTGATCGAACCCGATGATGATGACAAGACCTTGGACAATTTCAACAAGCTCAAGAAAGGGTACGTTCTACCACATCTATTACTGTTTCTTTACTAACGTACACGAGACTCTCGCTTGCTATGGCTTCACAGGGTGGTTTGCCACACAAGCACAAGATCGTAT